GACAGGACACTGCTGAGGCAGGGGCATGGGACAATGGGCCAGCTGGGGACAGAGCCCTGAGAGGGTCCAACTACTGCTGAGGCCTGGGGTGGGGCAACATCCCGGGGCACAGTGTGTTCTCAAGAGAGCTAGCCCAGGGGTCAGGTGACCAGATGAACAGGCAGCCCGGGCTGGCAGGGCTCAGAAACGGAGGTGCTGGCTGTGGGCATGGGCTGGTTCTGATCCTGGCTCTACCACACACCAGTGGTGAGAGGTGGACAAGTTAACTTTCCTGCCTCAGTTTCCCCATCTGTAAAATGAAGATAATGGTACACTGCCTTGCAGAACAGAATGAGTTAGTGCAGGTGCTTGGAACAGGGTGTGTCAAAATGTGTTAGTAACTGTTAGCACCCAACCCACCTGCCTTCCTCCTTCCCCAACATCCCACTTCTTCCAGGCAGCCCTGAGCTGCCCCTACCCAACCTGATACATTAAGCCAATCAGTACACACCACTCCTGGGCCAAAGTCTGGTCTGGCCAGTCATGTCTTAAGCCAGTCCAATCAGGGGAATGCTGGTCTCCTGCTTGCACACCTGGATACTGGAGGCCTGCTCTCCCTCCTGCTGGAGGAGACCAAGAAGCCCCGAGCAGCTGCTGCCCTCATTCTCAGCCACAAGAGTGCTCAGCCACGAGCGTGTCTGGCCCAAGCCCAACACTGACACAGCAGAGGCAGGGTGAATGATGCAAAGAAACAGCCTCTGATAACACCACTGGGTCCCACAAGCCCGATGCCCCTTGCCTCTCGGTTCTCAGGGCCCTGATTCCACACATCCCTCTACTGCCTAGACCCCGGAGCTGGGCTTCTGCTCCTGCAAAAGGCGGCTGCCCTGAGCGTCTCCCAGCACCGAGAACCAGTCTGCCTGTCCAGGCTGCGGGAGGCCTCCAGAGCCCATTCTTGCCTCCTGTTCTGTGACAGCTCAGAGAAGTCCCCAGACGGGGTCCCCTCTGTGGCTGACCTGCCCCCATGGACACACACGGCTGTTCCTGATGGCACACGGACCCCTTGGCCCCCACCCAGGACAGCAGAGCAGCAGGTGAGCGAGGGGATGATACTGTTACGGGGTGACCCTGAATCACTCCCTTAAGTGAAGCTTTCAGAACTGCCAGCCCTGCAGCAGTGATCTGTCTCCGGTGACTCACAACACTCCACTGACTCCCGAAATCACCCCTGGTGTCAGGACACCGCCAGGAAGAATCGCTCCTCCTCCAGCACCTCCCAACTTCAGTTATTCACATTCATGATTTCCGCCTCACCCAACAGCAACTGTACTAATATTTACAGAGCGTTTATCTTTAAATCCGCGGCCAGCCCAAACTGAGCCTCGGTGTCTCCTAAAAGAACAAAGGGAGCACAGTGTTCCTGGATGGCACTGTCACTCACCCGCTGCCTGTCCACCAGCCTCACCCCTGGCCTCTCCGCCTCCCCAAGGAGCCCCAGGGTGCAGCCTCTGAGACTTCAGAGCACCTCAGCATGACCATAAAGGCCTGGCTTACTTCACATCATTTCCCATGTTCCTGGGGATGCTGGACCCAGGGGAGAGCT